TAAAGTGGGGATCTTTTTTTTTACTCTTCTCGTGGTATTGACAAAAATTAAATACTTCTTACAATAAAAACATTGAAAAGATAATATGTAATAACACATGCTTGGAGTACGTACGTGGTAACAGTTAAATATAGGCTAAATTCCCATAGTTAATCGACAAATTTACTCAACGTGAATAAAGTATGACTCAACTGACCGTGAGCTTCATGCTATCTCGTGAGTCTGAGACGTTTACTCCACGAGAGGAAGGTCTCATAGTCGACCGTGAAGGTCATACTGTCTCGTGAGTCTGAGACATTTACTCAACGAAAGGAAAGTCTTACAGTCGACCGTGAGCATCATGCAATGTCTTACGAGTATGAGCCATTTATTCAGCGTGAAGAAAGTATAATTACTGACCATGAGCGACGTGCCATGTCTGACGAATCTGTGACATTTCCTCGGCGAGAAGAATGTATCACAGTCGACCGTGGGCGCCTGCTATGTCTCGAAAGTGTGCTAGAATTTATTGTTATTAGAAAAGGTGTGCGCATCTTTCATTGTTAAGCGATTGGGAAATAATAATATATGCGAAAGTATCTATGTCCGTGTGTGTGTGTGTGTGTTACGTTTTTACCAAACATTAATTAAATTCGGTTCACAGGTCCACTATTTAGAAAGGACATAGTACAGTTTTATTGCTAAATATAGGCATAAAAAGCTTACAGGATGCAAGTACAAAATGCGATAATAACCGAATATCACGAAGCCGCGGGCGGAAAGCTAGTTGAATAATAAAACTATTTATTTATATTTAATAAATAAAGACCGGATAATATGCAACATAAAAAGCTTGAAATATGCATGCAAATATGCATGAAAAATGCCTAAAATATGCACGAAAACTGACAGAATAAGCAACATTAAATGACTATTTTTTTGTTTTGTAAATATTACGAGGGTCAAACTGAAAGTTCTTAGAACTGGCCACTTATAAACAATATAATAAAAAAAATAATTCTAAAATTTGAAAATATAACTCTTTGCCAATATTACTGAGTATATATTTCATTCATTTGTCATTTGTTTTACGATTTGGCGGCAAATTGAAAATTGTCTGTGTCACGTCATCATGAATTTAACACGAGAAAATTTTCGTGCAATGATTTTTTATGACTTTCGATGTCATTTAAGTCAACAAGAAAGTTATGATAGACTACGATTGGCCTTTCACGATGAAGCCCCATCTCGTGCGACTGTTTACAACTGGTTTAATGAGTTTAAACGTGGTCGCACTAATCTCACTGATGATTTACGTGAGGGACGGCCTTCTACGGCGACGACTGAAGATAACATCTGTGTTGTGCGGCGTATGATAGAGACTGACAAAAGAGTGACCTATCAACAGATTCGGACAAGCTTAGGCATCGGTATGAGTCAAGTGCACAAAATCCTCCACGAACATTTAGCGGTCAGGAAGCTTTGCGCCCGGTGGATACCTCATAATTTGACTGAGGCTCAAAAACTCCATCGTGTGGATTGGTGTCGTAAAATGATTGAAAGATTTAACGGAGGTGACTCAAATGCTGTGTTCGACATACTAACAGGTGACGAAAGCTGGATTTACTGTTATGATCCTAAAACCAAAAGACAATCTGCTCAGTGGGTGTTTCCTTTCGAGGAGTTGCCAACTAAAGTGAAGAGAGATCGAAGTGCGGGAAAAAAAATGGTGGCCTCGTTCTTTGGAAGGATAGGTCATTTTGCAACAATTGTGTTAGAGGATCAAAAAACAGTTTCTGCAGAATGGTACACTACCAATTGTTTGCCACTTGTCTTGGAAAAAGTTCGAGAGAAACGACCTCGCAGTAGGATCCTCCTTCACCACGACAACGCCTCGTCGCACACCGCCAAGCGAACGATCGACTATTTGGCGACATCAAACGTTGAATTACTGGGTCACCCGCCGTATAGCCCCGACCTCGCGCCTTGTGATTTTTATTTATTTCCAAAAATTAAAGAAAAACTTAAAGGAAAGCGGTTTATGAATGCTGAAGAAGCGGTGGCTGCGTATCGCGATGCCATTGAAGAGACCCCTAAGGACGAGTGGGCAAAGTGCTTTTCCCAGTGGTTCCATCGCATGCAGCGGTGTATTGACGTGAATGAACAATATTTTGAAAAGATATAATAAAACTAATAACTGGCTAATGTAATCAGTTTTTGATTTTCTAAGAACTTTCAGTTTGACCCTCGTATTCCTTTAGATTTAAGTTTTTTGTTAGTAAATACTTGTTTTATGTTTTACTTTATTATGTATGTATCTTTTTAATTTATTATTTTTTAATAAAATAAAAAACTATAAAATTTTAAATTTTTTATTAAAAAATCAGCATACATTTATAGTAAACTATCCATTGATAGATGTTAATCGATACAGTAACATGTTACATTATTTAATATTTTTGTAAACATTTACAATCAAGTATTGTTCTAAATGTTCAGTGGTAAGATTATGTCTTCGATCATTCAAAATATTTTTGTAGGTCGAAAATGATCGCTCCACATCTACTAAGGTAACTGGGCAGAATTTGAACTTGGGTGCTATGTTAGCGCTTATATTTTCTGGCAAAACTTGCGTCGGTCCATTAATAAAGCTATCAATTTGACACAGATGTTCAAAGCCTGAATTATTGTTCAAAATGTTTTCAAACTTTTCTTTGAGTTTATGCGGCAACCTACTTGGCAACGTGGAGTTAAGATAGCGGATTTTATTCATTGTTTGAATAGATTCATTCAATGCCAAACCGCGAGTTTCAAGCTTTTTATTACTTTCGGGTATGTGAGAAAAATTGGTGCAAATTATAGCTATGTATTTTTTTATGATAGAATCGTTAAAAGCTGTCTGTGACTCACAAATTGCTCTTGACTCGGCACTGTCAAAGTCATTTACTACACCTTTGATGGCCTGAAAATGTTCATTGTAAAACAGTACAGCTTCTATCCATGTCCCCCATCGGGTAACAACTGGTTCGGGAGGGAGAGGAACAATTGGTATTTTTTCTTTGTAGGCTTTAGTACTTAAGAAACACTTTTTTTGTTGATGAAATCAGTTTATTTACATTCCCAAATGTGGATCGTACTTCTTCAGCAAGTCGATGTACTCCATGGGCAAAACACGTTACATGAATCAAATTGGGATAAAATACTTGGAGGGCCTTGGCTGCTTTGATCATATAGGGAGCAGCATCTGAAATAAATATAAATACTCTTTCTTCTGCAGATGATTCAGGAAATATTTTTTTTATACCCTCGTTCACAAATCTGGCCATCGTAGGATGATTTGTTTTTTCTAATTCTTTGCAGGCCACCAAATAGGAAGGAGAAGGTTCTAGTTTCAATGTACCAACAATTAAAGTCGGTAGTTTCGTCAGCTTAAATCCAAATAAGGTTCTCCTTGTGTTCATTACGTATTTCTTCCATAACATTTTCATAAATTGTTGGTATATAATTTTTACGCAATGTTGACGTCTGGTATATTTTGATTTAAGCAATATTTTCGCAGAAAGTGATTGAGGATAGGATTTTTTAGTTTATGGAGAGGAATATTACTTGCAAGCAATGCTTCACATAAATCCATGCTAAACTGGTTGTTTTGTTTACATTTCGAGCTAGAAGCAGAAGCGGTTATAAGCTGTTGTCGTGGACCTTTTTTCTGCAATCCTGCGACGTGAAAACTTGTCTTGACATGTTGGTCTATTTGAAACTTTTTAGTGCACGAAATATTTTTCTCGCAAACTCGACAATATAAAACATTTCCGTCGTAAGTAAATGTTCCAGGAAATTCACTTATCCACGAAGACACACTTTTTTTTTCGGGAGGCATTGTACACACACAAAAACTTTTAACTGCAGGTCAATTATCCGAGCACGAGCGTGTCAACAATCAAAGTAATAACATGCATAATAGTGGGAGTAGCGCGGTAGGAGAGCGCGCGGCGGCGCGATCATTTGTCTCTTTCATTTTATGAGTACCAAAACAAAAGACGCGCGGCTGCCGAGTGCGCTACGCTCGAAAAATACCTACTGTAAATTATAGCAATAATATGCATCATCACTAGATCTTAGTAAAAATATGCTATTAGCCTTGAAAATGGCTTAAATATGCAAATATGCAAATGCATATTATCCGGTCATCATTCATAAATTAACACCTATAGAATACAAAAGAAACAAAGTATGTATGCAATTTACAGGACATAATATATGTATAACGACGTAAATAAAAAAATTGTGTCACAACTATATAAATAATGTAAGAGTACATAATCATTCTTTTCTGTTACAATTGTACCTGACAGAGTCTATAATAATCCGTGTCCGTCTCCAAGACCAAGACTACACAAAATACTTAAAAAGCTTTAATGTGCATTAACGTTATTATAATCACTATACCATCTATCTGAATTATTATAATTTCAGTTCCCGAATACTTACTACTAAATATTCGGGTCAGCACTCAGAGCTGGCCATCCTGACTCGACTAACTAATTCCAAGTGCTAAATTGCACAGGTCTAAGGTTTACCTTTGCCAGTTAATAGTATGAACATAGGTTCGCCATTTCATTGAGGTTGTGTACTGAATCTAAATATTATCGAAGCGAAAGCTTTGATATACCAATCCAATTAATAGTATGAAGCGTGATCACTTATTACAATATTCTTAGCATAGATTATATTAAATATATAATATCTCCTAATTTTTAAACGCCATTCAAATTAGATAGTTTTTCATGTAGTAAAATTCCATTCAAAATTAGTTAATTTGCGTCACATATACGCACTGACTCTTAAAACAATTCTTAAAATAATATTTATAATCAAGATCAAGGACTTATTGATAACTTGGTATTTTTTTTTAATTAATCTTAGTACCGTTTTCTTACGTATTCATACTAAAATAATGTTTTATCAGAAGATGACGTCAATGTTGATCTCTAAGGTCGACGGGAATATAATATTACTGTTTTGTATCACGGTTGACAGTCAGTGTCAGTGTTAACGTTTCAACGTTCAACATGTGTAGAATATTAGCATTTGGCATAATAACAGTTCTCACTACGTCTCAAGTTTCAGGGAATTCATTAAATGAATTCTTTCAAGAGCAAAACCAGAAACTAAACGCTTTTTTTAAGGATCAACTTAATCTTGTTGAAGATGCTGTAAATACTAGTTACGCAGGCGCAATACACATTCAAAATAAAATTGGTGATTATATAGAAGATCAAAAAAAGAAGATATCAGACGATGTTAATAACTACGTTGAAAGAGTTCAAGAGAGTGGAAGAAATTTCGTGGACACATATTCTTTCATGCCAACAGAAGATCCTTTGTCATTACTGGTGAAACCAGATGTAGTACTGTCTGTGCCATCACTCATTAGGCGTAATGGTTACGACTGTGAAACTCACACGATTTTCTCTGACGGTTTCCTGTTGAACGTACATCGGATTCCTCGTCCTAAGAGTGGTGGAGCAACTTCCAAGAACACTGTTATTCTCCAGCATGGTTTATTTGCCAGTTCCGCCGATTGGATCTTGAATGGACCTCAGAAATCACTCGCGTATGCTCTAGCTGATGCCGGTTATGATGTTTGGATGACTAATATAAGAGGTAACAGGTATTCTAGAGAACATTCTCGATATAAAGAAAAGACTAAAGAATATTGGAACTTTTCATGGCACGAAGTAGCTGTGTATGATATTCCAGCAGTGATAGATTACATTCACAGAGTAAAAGGGAATGCTAAAATAGCTTATATTGGGCATTCTATGGGTACAACGATTCTTTTTACTATGTTGTCCGTGCGTCCGGAATATAACAATAAGCTTGTTGGTGGTATAGCTTTGGCACCTGAAATATTTATATCAAATATGGAATCGCCGATTAAATCAATGGCTAGTATCGCAAGCGGCGTTGCTCACACACAAATGGTAACTGGAAACTATGAATTCGTACCGAAAGATTCATTTTTTGGTCGCCTTCATAAAATGTGTGAAGCGGAACATTTGAGCTCGCAGATATGTAACAATGTGATATTTTATGTTTGCGGCGAAGATCAAAAGCAGCTTAATGAGACAATCCAGGAAACGTTTTTAGCAAATTTGGGAACTGGTACGTCCTGGAAAACTGCCGTGCACCTAGCACAAATGATATTGTCTGGCAAATTTCAACCATTCGATTACGATTACGATGAGCGTAACCAGAGGATGTATGGCGCTGATACACCACCAGAATACGATTTGACTAAAGTGACATTGAATATAACATTATTTTGGGCACAGAACGATTTGCTTTCTAATGAAATGGATGTCAGAAAGCTACATGAGATGTTGCCAACGACAACACAGATGTATTTAGTGCCATTTCCGAAATTCAATCATATGGACTATTTGATGGCCAAAGAAACGCCTCGCTTAGTAAATAATAAAGTACTCGAGACATTGAGTGAAACATTTCAACAAAGTAATGACATTCCAAGAAATTATTAGGTTTTTTATAGCACTATTTTTATCAAACGGAATTATAGGTTAATTATAGGTATATTTTATCTAATCAAATATTTGTACTGAGAAAATGAAAGACGCTTTCGGTAACAATGAATTATTCAAGTATTATTAATTATAAGTGAACTTTATTCGATGAAATTAAAAACTTATCAAGGACCTCAATTTGTTTCTTTTAAACTGGCTTCTGATAAAATAAAAAAAACGCGTAATTAACATAACACGCAAACGTACAGTAGAATGTTTTACCTGAACTTCGTGACGACATCAACACCCATTGTTATTATATGAATAAAAATTTCTCACCTACGTAATAAGTGAAATAAAAAAAAAACTTTATAAAGGAATCATAATCACAACAATATTAGTTGTTAATAAAATAGAATTTAGTATTAAAGACCTTACATTTGTCATTACATATTATAATATAATTGAAATGAAACATTTAGAACACATTTTCGTTTTATCCGGAAGTTAGTTACTCTATGCTTTTCTGTTAAAAAGAGCACTTTGAAAGCATACAATTTCATAGAAATAAAATCCTTGTTATCTTTCAAGTAGGTTTTAATCTATTGAATTCTTATTTAATCCGACTTCAAATTTCAAAATTAGAAGGTTATATGTTCAACGGCGATGTATTTTTTTAAAATAAATCTTTAATGTACAGTCAAATCATACTAAATGATTTTTTTTATAACACCAATGGTACGTGTACACTTCCAAAGAACGATTAACGTAACAAAGAATCGTATAGCATGTACTAGCCCTTAGAGCTCTTGATATCACCCGGAAGCGACTTAAAACGTGTCAAAATGGCGACGGTTTCAAGTACAATGAATCACTTCTGTCTCATTTGACCACCAGCAACGCCTGTCGTAATACTTATCTTGATCACTATCGTATCCGTTTTGGCGGTTAGTTTCGGCGTCATCCCAGAAAGTGCTTCCGAGATCGCAGCAATATTCAATGACACATTCTAACTTTATAAGTCTGATTGATACAACATCAAAATGGAACAATCAATCATTGCGCCGACATATTTGACAGCTGAAATATTGCACGTCAAAATGCCGCGTTCACATAAATACAACGATATATATACCTGTCTCTCTCTTACCTTTCAACCTGACTTTTTAGTATGAAACAAAGTCGTTTCCCACTGCCGGTACGCTGAGGTGTTTCATATTACACAACGGATTAAAATGTGGTTTTATATATTTAGACTAATATAAGATAGAGGAATGGTATTTTTTTTATTATCTGATTGTTTTCATCGAATAAACTCCGAAACAACTGGACCAATTTTAAAAATTCTTTCACCCATGGTTGGGCATCATTATGCGGTGAACATAGATTTTATTATGGCTGGCAGGATCTGGATGCGAACAGCCGAGGATCGAACTAGATAGCATGCAATTGGGGAGGCCTATGTCCAGCAGTGGACGAATATGGGCTGATGATGAACGGGCTGAAAATGGGAATAGAAGTTTGTATGGAGAATTAAAACGTAACCATATTAACCATTGTTTACTACTTAATTTGTCATTGTAATTATATCCATGTTATGATATTAATCGATATCCAATTAAGCAGTTCCCTAGGGACGACACGAGCGAATCCGCTAGCGGGAAGCTAATCATCAATATATTGAGTATAAACGTAAAATATTATATCAATTGATTTAATTTGTATTAAATAACATGTAGACAGATTGAGGAGGTCGATGGCGCAGAGCCTGCGTTGCAAAGATTAAACAACTTTCACAAGGGTTAGTCTTAGGATTGGTGTTCTTATTAGTCCGTCAGTCAGATAATAGAAAAATATTAGATACTTTTTTTTTTACTTCAAATTAACAAGAAATAGCTTAGATAACAGGCATTAAAGTTGAGGAGAGGGGGCTCGCTACGTCACAGTTGAGTAGAAAACGTACTCTAACGTGACGTCATGCGAAATTTCAACTGAATGTAACGCCGTAATTTTAGGATTACGAAAAAAATAAAAAAATATGTGTTTAATATTTTTTAACACTCTACCTGACGGACAAACAAACAAAAATTAGTCATCATCCTTATTATGAGACAAATACAAGATAACATTTTAAATCATTCGTTATTAGTCCCTTTTTATGTAAGCTTGTATCTATTAGATTCATCTATTATTGTAAGTTGTTCTTTCAGTAACGAAAATAAAGTACTCAGACATTAAAAGCATCATAAGAAACTAAGACGACAGTAAACAAATTCAAGAACTGGCTTCTAATATTACAATTTCGTAAATTTAAATAAGTTTCTTGAGTTTCTTAATTACCTAATTATACTGTAGTTTTGAGTCTGTTATTATTTATTTTTTTGCACATTAAAAATGTTTATCACGTCAGGTAATATAAAATATTATTTGATAGTATTTTATCTAATTAAGAGTAAGATTATAGAAGGGTCAATTGATAATTTTGACCTTCATAACATTTATTACGATATACATGGAAACAAGACATAACAAACAATGTTTTATACGTTATCATGACTATGTAGGCACGAGTGTATATGACTTATTGTTTGAACTGTAATTTGTATTTTATTAATGTAAAAGTATATAGATTATATTATACGAATACGAATTACATTATACAAATGCGTAAAACAAATGTATGTACAAGGACGAAGTGGTTGACATATAACCCAAAAAAACTTGAAGAATAAAAGACTGTTATCGGAAGTCGATATAATCGTACGCTCGATTTAATCTAATTCATCATATTTTTATTTTATCATATCATATTTTTGTTTTGAATAACATTCCAATTTGTAATACTTTGTAGGTATATTCCATAGAGTGTGATATCTTTTTTAGTAGCTAATGAAAACGTTTTCTAAAAGTCATTATTAGAAAGTTCTATTTTAAGGAGCTTTGATTCTCCGTAAGCTCTATACTATGAAGTAAAAGGATACTTTGAGAAATAATTTCTCAAATTTCAAACTATAATGGCTGTTAACAAGAGGTACAGTGAAGCTGACTACGTTTCTAACGAAAACATCGTTAGTTTTGTTTTTATTAGAAAGTTAGTGTTGCTTCTTGTCAGGTAATACCCGAAAAGATGGTAACATTGCTTGTTTTTTCGATGACGGTTATTTTAAACTGTCAAAGTTTTTACTTTGTCAAATATTTATTAATTGTATTTGATAACTTTAAAATATCATGCTAGACTGTTTTTATTATACTTCACTGAGGTAAGCGTTTGAGTGATTGTACAATAAAGAGTGTTTACTTAGTTACGTTTAATGGTCGTCCCGGCATTACACAAAAAGTCAATATTTTATTTCAAATTACTCTATAAACAAATGGCCGACCGAGCCATCGTCGTATAGTTGAAGTACGAGTATTTTACACGAAACTTTCTCTCGAATAATTGTAGTTTTTTAATTACCTAATTCACTTTCTTCCTCAATGAATTTATTTTGATTACATAGACAGAAGGAGCTTGGTTTTATAAGGTTACAGTCAACAGTTCGTCAGACTATACAAATTTCTCCACTAGATTTTAAATCTTAATGCATTTTAACTATAATTCAAATTAATTGATAAAATTTGACATATTGCTATAACTTAATGTGCGGCCGTGTGTACACCAGTGGTTCCTAGCCTTTTCATGTATTATCTATTAAGAAAACCGATATTTTCCCTATTCAACTGCAGGCCTCCAGGCCAGGCCCCTCCTGAAAGATATCTCTAACGCCCATGATATTATCGTTTGTAGCTCGGTGGTTAGTGGTTAAGCGTCGCGGCCCGTGACTGTTTTGGCTAAGCAATTTTCATAAAGGTCGGTCACGGGATGGGTGATCAAAAATTTACTATTTCGAACTACTCTGTGCTTCAGAAGAGCACGTTAAAACATTATTTCTATCATTTGCAGTCGTCAATACCCTCCAATCCACATTGGATCAGCTTGGAGGGTTATGACCCTTCCTCCTTAACCATACATAAGGAAGGCCAGGGGTCTAACCATAAGCTGTTGTTCGATATAGTGCTGTCCCACTCGCTGCATGGATTAAACATTGCAACAGGTGATGGTAACTCCCCTAAGTACCTGTAAAAGGGCTGATGATAATGATTATAGTTTTTTTGCGTAAATCATGTTCCACATTGAGACGGATTTTATTATTCTTTCATTAAAGTTGATCTTAATTATTTTTATTTTATTCCCACAGAACGGTGATTTACTCGCGTAAGGGTAATAACCCCTTAGTTTATGACTGCGGTAGACTATCGGCCTGTTGCACAAACGTCCATTAAGGTTTAATGACGCCTTTAAAGTCTAATGAATGTCAAATTTGTATGGGGTAATGTCGCTTTAAACTAATGATAATTTTAATGGAGGTTTGTGCAACTGGCTGTATAACGATTTATGTGTTTGAGGACTCAACTTCTATATTTTGTTCCTAAAACCAAAACATTAATAAAGAAAACTTTCTCTGTATCGTATGAATATATCATATCAACATTTTTTTATAGTTTATAGAGAAATAGGTATCTGAAGTTTTTATCGGGTAATTTCTAGTGATCTGGCAACACTATCGGTAGTTTCCTTAATTTAACATAAATTAAGCTATTTACAGATTTATTGGACATCAAAATCCAATGATATTTATTATGATAAATAGAGAAACTTGATTGTTTATTTATAAAGTGAGAGCAGTTCCAGGATGAAGTGAAGTGATATAATAAAGGAATTTAAGGCGGATAACATATTTGCAGTTAACAATAAATAGTGATTCGAGTTTAATACCTAATTGTACTCGATTTGATACCGGTTTAAGAGAAATATAAAGTTACTATGGTTAGTAAGCAACTTTCGCAAGGGCCTGTCATAGGATGGGTGACCGAAATTTTATAACGTCGATCTCACCCAGCTTTAGAAGGCATGCTATACCATTGTATTACTGTTCTAGCACATTAGGCAATAATGTTAAACCATCAACTCGAAACAATAGTTAATAGTACATAAAAGAAAAGACGCAAACTATTTTTAACTGTCAAAATAAATAATTTCGATTCAAATTCAATGACGATAACCGAAAATGTTTGAATACGGTACAAAACATGTATTTAATTGTTTACTGTCCTGTGAAAAACTAAACGTCGAAGTCGACATCGGACACAGCGCTGTCACGTCGTAGAGGTTCGATCAAATAAAACCTACTTCAAAGGACAATAAAAGCTTTTTCCATTGAAACTCTTTAACGTAACAGTGCTTCGCTCGTCATAACGTCACGATTTACTGAAAGCGGGGAAATTCCGAAAATGGGGAATTACCACCAAATCCGGATAAGACATTGCTTTTATGTCAACTGTTGATAAAGTTGACTAATAAAAAAAACTTTTAATAGATGAAAATAAATTCAATTAGATATAATAAATATATTGCTTGTTTAATGTTATTTTCGGAATTCGCCTGCATTACCCTTAAGCACATTGATAGTTTTAAATATATTTTAATCCTGTTGATTTCCTGTAATCCTTTAATCTCCTTTACTTTAGCTCGCGTGGCTATCCAGTTCTTATCTTTTTTTTATGAGTCTGCGTTCTTCTATTATTTTTTCACTTATGATTGTTTCATATATTGCACCCTATATTATAAAGGCTCTACTGGCGTCTGATGGACGCTGAGCGTCTATCTCTCTGTCAGTGGTATCTTGTGAACCGTCATATTAAGAAAATTAAAATCATAAATGCCTAGTTTATGGCCGCTTTAACAGAAAACCATAAAAAAGAAGAAAATAAACAAGGGGACTGCTATACGATCTTTTTTTGTAATTTTTACAGCTACTTAATGGTACGCAACCCCGTGTGCAAGTCCAACTTGCACTTGAGTGCTTAACGAACTATCCCGCTGTAAAAAGAAATTAACTATTTTGATTCAGCTAAGAATATATTGTTTTTGTATTTTTAAGGTTTGTTAAGGAATCTGCTTGTAAAGCGTCAAACTTAGTTTGTTGGTAATCAAATACTTGTCCAGCTGTGAACACGGAGCCGGTCACCGCAGGCCACCGAAGTTTGTCGGGTTCCATCAATCAAACGTGCCAGTACAAACGGACGGACAGCTCGCACTTCGTGACATAATCCAGGAGTGGGGACTGTCGTGATAACATAAATAAATGGGAAAAGAAAAAAAGTTTTAAAAGAGTCCACCATTGTGGAAATTTGAACAGTTATTTATAATACAATAATTATAAAATTTTGTAACTTTTGCAAACATCAGTCATCGGTTGGTGACAAAAAATATCATCTCTTACTTTTGTAATTCCATTACGAAGCGAATTCGCTTAAAAAATTGCCAATTACAGATACGCCAAGTGGGAACTCGCACCCCCTTTCGCAATCCAGGCGGCCATTCTATTCTAACCATTGAGCTACCAGAGACCCAATAAGATGGAAGAAAAATTCAACCAGTTAATACTTTAAAAACATTCTTAATGCAAAATGCTTAAAAATCCACTTGGTCCCTGGGTGCCATCCCGTCTCAGGGTGAATGCGAAATGGATCAAATATAAATATAATATAATATAATAGTTATTACTTTCGACATTTATTAGCGTATTTTCATAAATTTCAGGAAATTAACCCAAACAGATTTCTTTACAAATATTGTTAAACTTTCGATTGAGATCTTCAAAGATCATTACAGTATTGTGACTGAAAAATTGATGTAATAAAGTAAAAGGCTTTGTAAACATAAAGTGCACACTCTTGTCGCGCATGACATTACCATGCGTTTGATACTTGTTTTCTGAATACTAAACAATCTTAATAATAATCTTTATGAACAAAACGAAACAAATGGCGGCCTTATCGCTTAAAAGATCTCTTCCAGGCAACCGCAAAAATGAAATTAGATACGGAGAATAATTTAGGGCTGTGCATTTAACCAAAATATACTTTATATATATATGAATATACAATCCAATTAATTCACACACTTTCACACGATTTTGGTAGCAATAGGTAAAAAATTCCTAAGTCTTTTTAAAACCGGAATGTAATTTTGTTTTTTATTCCATTCTCTTTCACTCCATTCTCAAAGATCTTAGCAGGAAGCGACTTTATTATATACTATGTATAGAATTAAGCCTGTAAAGATCATAATCATCTGTACTATTTCATTAAATAGGCTCCAAAAATGGACCTATTTTAAACAGTCTCTGTCACTAGACCCCAAAAAATTAATAACTCATTCAGAGGTTTTTGTGTGCGCTTCTACAATACAGCAATGAGATATCATGCAGTTTAAATCTACTATTAAAAAAGCTTATAAGGCATCCGATTATGAAACAGATAAGAATGCTTGGACTTAAGATGATCCAGCAACTGGATATGTGATTTTTTCTAAACTATTTATATCTCAAAAATTATCCTGCTTCTATTATTATTAAATTATTATGTTCTTATTATAAGACCATAGTTTTTTTTTTCTCTATTTATAATATGTTGATTTAGTAATGACATGGCTTATGTGAAAGTCATTACTCCTATTAGAGCTAGTGAGTTTCTTGCTCGTTCTTCTTATCAGCCAAAAGACGTCATGAACGAGTGGTAGGAAAAAAATGTTGGACGATTCAAAAGCACTTTTCAGAAATCTATTTGAATAAAGATTATTTTGACTTTGAATTTGATTCTCACCTACGAGATGCTACATCATACACGGGTGGCATTGGCTATTATTTACGTGTGTAAAGTAGCAGGAGAACAGCTAGTTATTTTTATCAATTATAGATGTGATAAGGCGGTTTTCTTGCGATTTTACCCTTTAAAATACACAATAGATTTTAATGCAATTTCGTCAGTATATAAAATGATTCTTAGGGAAATTTCATTTGTATAATATAGGACTACGCGGATGAAGCCACTAGCGGAAAGCGAGCACCTAAATAAGTAAGGCGGGAGCTTACCGTTTAAATATAATTTACTAGAATTAATTTAATCCTTAATATCCCTGATCCAAGGTTATGGCAGAAAAATTGAAATAAACTGCCAGCCATAGGTACGTCCATTTATCATTCAAAGGGACGATTTTAATAAATCACCTTTTACAAATGATTTTTTAATGGAACATGACAATCCTGATAGAAAATTTGATGTCTGTCTGTATATTTAATGTATAAATAATGAAATCGACTGAACAACATTTCATTATTCTGAATGACTGTGATGAATATGAAAAAAACTGGTGAAGTACTGGTCGAATGTGAGAATTAGAGGGTTTCCTACATATATTAATAAAAAATTATTGGTTTCTTTTAACACAATATGATTTTGTATTATTTTTCAAATATTAGGGCTTGCAAAGATAAACTGTGTAAATGATTATTGAGGAATGTCCAGCAATCCACTACATTAAAGGCACCATCGAGGACCTGTACATTCTTAGTGACGAAGCTGTTTTGTTGATATTTTTATTTAAGATTCAAATCATAAATTCATAAAAAAGATAAAAAAATACCATTTATTTAATCGTATGGCAAAATAACATCAACATACAGAAAAATAACCTGAAGGTATTTTCCGCGTAAACAGAATATACAAATAACTTACGTATGAAGCAAATGATAAATAAATTAAATTCAATGAAAACAAACAAACAATCAAATCTTTCTAATATATTTACAATATGAATATGTCTTTGAGATTTTTTTCACATGTGCATTAATTAAGTATGGTATTTTGCATTTTTTGATTTATACTTTACCAACCAAGAGTTTATTTTTTTTAATCTTTGTGATGTATTAATTTATAATACGATTATTATGTACCATATTTCAATTCAATCGTTTCAGTAGCTTTAAAAAATTCAGTTACTTTTTTTATTATTGTATGTAACCCTAAAATAGAGACAATACATGTACTTCAAAATCAAGGCTTTAGTGAATCATGGAAAAATAAACGTGCGAGCAATTGAAGCATTGTTATAAATGACGACACTCGTGATTCAACTGAGAATTTTACACATAAGTTTAACCCAAACAAATCTCTTGAGATTATCGCTTATCAACGGACAGTTGATTGCTCTATTTAAGCATTATTATCAAATGACCAACACTATTTCTCAAAATGGCAGCTACGTGTTACTTCGTTTTCCTGTTTTGTGTTTCTGCTGCACTGTCAACAAAAGAGAAACAGCAAGAGAGTGAAAAAAGTAAATTAGAACAATACATTAACACTAAATTGCCTGAAATAAATCAAAGATACTGGCTGCACTACCATATCGCACCACCGGTAGGATGGATGAATGATCCCAACGGATTTTCCTTTTTCAAGAATGAATATCACATGTTTTACCAATTCTATCCGTATAAAAGTGAATGGGGTCCGATGCACTGGGGTCATAGTTCAAGTCCTGACTTAGTGAATTGGAAGAGACTCCCAACTGCATTACATCCTGAGAAAGAACAGTGCTTTTCAGGTAGTGCAGTAGAAGATAATGGCCAACTCGTTCTTATGTATACCGCTCACGTAGTGCTCAATGCTACCAGCAATAATACTTTATACAATGAATCTCAGTATTTAGCATATAGTGCAGATGGGATAAATTTCGAGAAATACTCAGGAAATCCTGTTTTGTCTTCTTCACCAAACGGATCGTCTGATTTTAGAGATCCCAAGGTGTGGAAGTATGGTAACAATTGGTATGTCGTAATTGGAAGTAAAACCAACGAAAACAGAGGCAGAGTACTCCTGTATCGATCAACAGATATGAAAACCTGGGAATTCTTATCAGTTATTGCAGAGTCGGCTGTAGATAGTAATATGGGCTACATGTGGGAATGTCCCGATTTCTTTGAGTTAGATGGTAAGTTTATCCTTTTAATGTCCCCTCAAGGTATGAAGCCTGTTGGTGATAGATACAAGAATACATTTCAAACAGGCTATATTGTTGGAAATTTCAGTTACGAAACATTTAAGTTTGTACCTGAAACTGAATTCCAAGAGATAGATTATGGACATGATTTTTATGCTACACAAACCCTTGAGAAAAACGGAACAAGATATATGGTCGCTTGGTTTGGAATGTGGGAAGTTGAACATCCTGAAGCTAAAGATGGTTGGTGTGGAGCGATGACTATTGTTAGAGAACTAAGACTTCTGGGAGACAGAGTTTTGATGAAACCGGTTCACGCTATGACAACACTGAGAGATAGCGCTGTGTTTTCTGGTAACTTTACCTTGAATCAAGTACTAGAGTTTGATAAGACAGCTGAGATCATATTAAACGGCAACTTGTCACTTAAAATAGAATTGTTAGTTGAAGGCAGAAATGGTGGAGGCAAAGCTTGGATCAAATGGGATCCTGAAGTGGGTAAGATTGTCGTTGATAGAGGTTCTAATGATACTCGTCAAGTGAAATGGATTCCTATTGCATCTCATTCTTGGAGACTATTTTTGGATACTAGTTCTCTAGAACTCTTCTGCGGAGAGGGCGAAGTAGTTTTCAGTACTAGAGTTTATCCAAATAATCCATGGAAAGTGACTAATCTTAGTCCACAAACATTAAATATCCAAGCTTATCATCTAAAGAGAAGTGTCCCATACTACAATTCCTCTGTCAAAAGTTTCCAATATGTATTGAGTGCGTCATTTATAATTACAATTTTAACAATTTTGTCAAGTTTGTAGATAATATGAATGATTATTATTTGTTAATTTATAATGAAATTATGATATAAAGTAAAACAAAATTTTATATATTACATCTAATTTTTATTTCTTAAATTATTAAGAAGTACCATTATTTTCATGATCCTCTTAACTGAACTAACATAAATTACATCAAACATAATTATTTATGAAGATTTAAGAAAATATTATTAGGAATTAACTAGTTGCTATTAACTCTATTTGCATTTTCTTTCTAGAAAAATGAAAGTTTGAACTTTCAATGCAAGTACTCTGTAGTAACTAAGACAATTTAGATATATATTATGTATGGTATGTACATATATGTATCTAGAATCGTCATAACAACATTATAGTATCTAACCAAACCTATCATAGTTTTAATCTAACGAGACAGACTTTTTACGAGTAAGCTGATTATGTTTACAATTTTGTAACGGCATATGCGCATGGGCGCTTGTGCACTGCACTGAATTTTCAGGTCCGGCGGTCCGATTTTTTCAGGTCCGATATGTCAGGCCATATGTAGGTAATGCGCGCCTGTGCACTGTCAGGAATTTTACCGTCCGGAATTTTACTTTTCTCTATTCCGGACCGGTTTTTTCAGGTCCGTGGTGGCGGCACTGAAAAATGTGTTTTCGCTTGTGCACTGCTGTGTTCGCGATCCGGAAAATTCATGAGCCTGCGGAGTGGGCTTGGGAAGAATTAATCGATTTATGAAAAATCGATATTTATGTATATTATAAAATGGGATATTTTATATGATGATTTAATATAGTTGGTAAATATCACTGCATATGACTTGGCAAACTCGATATAGTTCTGATTTGATCATCGTATGGTTCTAGTATTGATACTTTGGTAGATACTTTGTTAGATTATAGAAAAAAAAAATGTCGTCGATCTAGCTTTTCAAGAGTAGACTATTATTGGGAGCAAACACATTTTGTAAAAACGTGTCAATTTGGGTACTTTGATTATATAATGTCCAGATTTCATGTCCCATACAAAGCGCAACGATATAAAGTTATATAAAGCGAGATAGTTTAAAAATGGAAATTTCCTATATATTGATAATCGATATTTATTGTAAAGTATATAATTCGATATTTTGGCTGATGATTTAACATAGTTGGTAAATATCACTGCATATGCCTTTACAAACTCGATATAGTTCTATTTTGATAATCGTAAACTTATAGTAGTAGCTTTGCTAGATTCTAGAATCATATTAAAAGTATCGATCCCAAAACAATATCGAATCAAAAGTTAACTTAAGGTAAGACAAATAAGTGTTGGTACGCTTTCACGCCTAAACAACTGAATGCATCTTAATGAAATTTGATACATAAATAGACTTAACTTATGGATGAAAGTTTGCATGGAAATTTGTCAATATCAATATTTGTTTTTAGGAAATTGATAATTGATAAATAAATATTTGATAACAAAAGTAATAATAAAGAATTAACAGAAGATTAACAAAAGTAATTTAGTGACACTTAATGTCTTTTTCGCATTTAAGTCTATATTGTAATAAAATTTAAAATGACTGTTTGTGTCATAAATAAATAAAAAAAAAGAAGTATTCTAAGGGAAAAATATTTCTGCTCAAAGAAACTACACTATGCGTATAAAATTATGCCTTTATATAATACAGTCAACTGATCTCTTATAGTTCATTCTCCGCTTACACGGCACTAATTTCGATTTGTTTACGAAATGGCGCCAACGATTGGTATATCTCTGTAATCGCTTAAAGTTGTTTTTACAAAACTTTTAATACCTTTAATAATTTAAACATCAAATACTAGAACATTATCAGTAATTTTATTCTAATGTCACAGATATTTTTAGCTATTATTCACAAATAATGCTGTTCCTAAATGAGTAAGGGTATAAGGTTTTACATCTGATAGTAGCAAAAAAAAAAAATGCTTTCGTCTTGCCTCAATTTATTATGGTTTATGTAAAATGATCAGGTCATTATTTAGGTACCTTTCTACGTCTTCGCATGTAGAGTAAGTAACAAAGCAAGCAATTACCGATGTTCCAAAAATCGCTTCGTACCTAGCGTAAGTGACGTGCAGCTTCAAATAGAGCTGCCCTACACTGCGGTGCTCCGATCAGGAAAAAAACGGACAAGTGCACAAGTTACTCATCCGGGTATTTCATGTCATTCCGGACCGGAAAAAATCGGTCCGCCGGACCTGAAAATTCAGTGTAGTGCACAAGCGCCCTATGAATTGAAATGCTTGAAGTAATCTACGATTTCAATTAGATTGGTCACATCAGTTTAACAAACAAACTTTACAACACACACGGACTTTAATCTTATCTTATCTACAATAAAATTCACATAGATTTTTATTAAATAATGTCGATGTTGGAGCGTTTCCATGTTTATCTTATCTAATACGGTATGTTTATGTGTGGGTTTGACCGTTTTAAGAATAGCATATTTTTTATGTAATGCACCTAAGACAAATTGCTTTTTAAAATATTAATTGCACACTTTGATATGCAAGTATTTTGATAAAAAAGCGAAGAAATATCTTAACTTAAAACTAAAGTGGAAAAATACTTTTATTAGATAAAATCAAAATTATCTCAAAAGGCCACTCACGAGAAAAAATATCTAATCATATCAACCACGATTGGTGCCTTCCGAACAATATAAAAGGGTATTTTTGGTTTGATACAGTAATGTCATTATAAAATATGGCGTTCTCTAGCCTCTTCACTGTCGCTCTTTGCTTAATATTAGACGTAACGGCAAAAGGACTTAGACAGCAAAGCAACATATTAAGTTTGGAAGAATACATTCAAATTAAGAAGGCCGAAATAAATCACAGATATAAATTGCACTACCATGTCACACCACCGGTCGGATGGATGAATGATCCCAATGGATTTTCTTTTTACAATGGTGAATATCACCTGTTTTATCAATACTACCCTTATGATAGCGTATGGGGTCCAATGCATTGGGGACACGTTACAAGTCCGGACTTGGTAGAGTGGACGCAAATGCCAACAGCCCTTGTACCCGAGGAAGAGATGTGCTTTTCTGGGAGTGCAGTTGTGGATGGAGATAAATTGGTGCTGATGTATACAGGACGTGTGAATTTAGACGATGACCTCTTCCATGAAAGTCAGTATCTTGCGTTCAGTGATGATGGTGTCGTATTTGAAAAGTATAAAGGGAATCCAGTTATAGCATCTGCTCCTAATAATTCACCCGATTTCCGCGACCCAAAAGCGTGGAAATATGGAGATTACTGGTACGTTGTTATTGGCAGTAAAACTGAAGATAACAGAGGTAGAGCACTTTTGTATAGGTCTCTTGATTTGATAGATTGGGATTTCTTATCAGTACTTGGAGAGTCTGATGGTAATATGGGTTACATGTGGGAGTGCCCAGATTTCTTTGAGTTGGACGGTAAATTTATACTGCTTATGTCTCCACAAGGATTAGAACCTCAAGGGGATAGATACAAAAATATTCATCAGACTGGTTACATTATTGGCAGTTTTAATTATGAAACTTTTGAATTTATACCTGAAGTTGATTTCCAAGAAATAGATTTTGGTCATGATTTTTACGCTTCACAAACGCTGGAGAAAGATAGCAAGAGATTTATGATCGCTTGGTTCAACTCATGGGAAGCTTCGTATCCAGAAGGTGTAGATGGTTGGACTGGAGCTATGACGATTGTCAGGGAATTGAAATTAGTTGATAACGTACTTTTACAGAAGCCATTGGAAGAAATGTTAAAGCTGAGAGGCGAAACCATTTTACAAGGAGAACTCAAACCATCAGAATCTGTGGAATTCAAAAAGACAGGGGAAGTGATTATAAATAGTGATTTATCACAGAAAATAGAACTACTACTAGAAGGAAGTGAAGGTGGTGATTCGGCGTGGTTGAGGTGGAATCCTGATACTGGGAAAGTTATTGTTGACAGAGGAAACGCTGATGATGTGCGTCAAGTAGAATGGGTACCCATTGATTCTCGTTCTTGGAGGTTGTTCTTAGATGCTAGTTCTATTGAACTTTTCTGTGGAGAAGGGGAAGTGGTATTTAGTAGTAGGGTATACCCGAATGGGAACTGGGAGTTAACTAATTTAAGTCCGCAAAGTTTGGATGTCGAAGCGTACCACTTAAGAAGAAGTATTGAGGAGTAAATATATCGGTAAAGACATCAAGTCGTTTGAACACTAGATCAGATATATATATAAGTTAGTACCTAATAATAAATTTAAATAAATTGTTATTTAAAATAAATTCCAGGGTGATATTTATTACATCATTTATTTCAGATTTTAATCAACAGTCCTTTATCCTAATTTTCTAATGTTAATCGATAAAAATTCGAATAAGTTATTATTAGTTTGCGATTTTTTTCTGTACACTCATATAAACTAATTATATTTTTTCAACCTGAATCATACCGTATGATATGCTAATTAAGCTCACATTTCAATACTCTGTTGTGAGGTTAACAGCATAGATCTAGTGACACAAGATGAACGGAATTCAACCACTAACAGTTCAAAATCAATTATCAGGAAGTGCTGACCTCTGACGGCTTATTGTGAACTATTCGTCTTCTGGGATTTACAAATCAAAGGACCAACTGTTTCCTAACTGAATGTTATTAGGTATTCAAGTCAATTGTCAGTACTTGGTCAGTGCAAGTTCTAGGTTCACTGTCAATAATTTGATTTGATGGGCTCAGTGTTATTGATTTAAAGTATTTTTACAGTTGATCAAATAAAATTAGTAGTACTTTTAATGTTTTTTTATCCTATAGAAAGCAATCTTTCGACCCCGAATTTGCACATTTTTTTAATTAAGTGGTTGAATTCGTTAAAACTATTTTTAGCGAACCTTTATACTTTAAAATTTGTTGTGTGCCAAGCGTCAGCTAGATCTATTCAATAGTTAGAGCTGTGTATTGATAGTTTAATTACTTACACCCGATTTCACCAACCTAGAATAAGGTAACCAGGAAATGCCTAAGTAGATAAGTTTAATTCCAAACAAAAATATTTGTTTTATCCCTTGATTTATTTGTGATCTGTAATATTGCGCAAATGCTTAGCGCAAGGCGCTGCATAACGCATGTCATACTTTAGACATTCCTTCATGTCATTTAGTGGGCATCGGTGAAATAAGTTTTCACCTTAAGCAGTTCCTAAATATTTAGGCGACAGATTTGGGTTACACATAAGTGTAGTGAAAACGAGAATTAGCCCCGTACAAATGATAGCTTATATCATACGCGTATGATATAGCTAACCGAAGATGAAAGAATGTTTTTTTTGTCATTTTCTTCAATCTGTATCAGGCTTTTAATTTTATTGT